ACATCATGAATCTGACAAGCATCTCCAACTATCTCATTGGGGGCAGATTGAGCATCAGAAACCGTGGGTGCAACCTCCACATCCATATCAGGTTCCGGGATGAGAGGGTCAAAGTGTGCCTGCTGACCCATTGGTGGGGAAAATCCATGAGGGATGGGATCAACTAACACCCAATGCACAACCACGTCTAAACTTTAGAACTGACACTTCATAGCCGATCTCATATAGTTCTCCCACTGGTCTGCACACGTAATTGGGATCATCTTTCTTTAGATGTTGGGAGGGGAACCTAGGTGAAGTACACCCTCCACTGCGATGCCATTATCATCATCAGCTCTATGGCAATGTAGCTCCTCCCGAGCCCTTACAACCAACTCACTAAATGAAGGCTTCTCATTTAATAACACAGGCACGCTTTGCATCTCAACAAACTCAATATATCCATAGCGATCTCTTTCCACGGTGCCTCCATGATATATGCTCACTGGGTTGTCCATCTAGTAGTTCAAACAAAAATTGAAATACAGTTCGTTTAGTCCAAAGTAGCTGCTATATAGTACCTCTCTAATAGATACTAACCAACTACACCATAAATAACTATATCACTAGCTATCTAACTATATTTATCTCACTAACTAAATCAACTAGCCATCTAATAACTATATCTATGTACCTATGCCACTAGCTATCTAACTATATTATCTCACTAACTAAATCAACTATCTACATCATCAAATTTACTAGAAACTACCAAATAATCAAATTAGCACTACAATTCAAGGTAACTAAGTACATACATTGCATATTCAAAAAATTTACATGTCCAACTCAATGCAACGATGCGACGTGAACACGGACACCGGGACCGGAGCAGGACGGGGATGCGGAGGACGGGATCGACGGCGAGGTCGCTAGGCGGCGGGAGCAGGGTCGCGGCGCTAGGGTCATCGGAGGAGCGCCTATCTTGCGCGCCGGACGCAGCGGTTGGGGACAGACGATGACGAGGCGCCTGGGCCGGGGGGCAGCATGGCCAGCCTGGCGGGGGCAGGGGCCGGGCACGGCACGGGCGGCCGGGATGGCGCTGATGGCTGCAGCAGTCAAGGCAAGCAGGCGGCGGCGCTCGCCTCGGAGCGGTAGAGCGAGAGGAAGAGAGAAAGAAAGGAAGGGCTCATACGTAAAACAGAGCTTGACGCCAATAACTACGGCATCAAACTCGGCGCCAAAATCTACGGCGCCAAAGGTGCTTTTCAAGTCACCGCCACGTCTGTGTCGAGCTCAAAACCTAGGCGCCAAAATCTATGACGCCGAGACATGTAAGTTCGGCGCCACCAACGATGACAGATAAGGATCCAGATTTTAGGCATATTTATTAAAAAATTTCAAAAAAAAGGCTAAAAACAAAAAAAAAAATCGGGCGCCGCCGCCGCCACAGTCGTCCGCCCGCTGCCTGAGTCCGGGGAGATCACCTTCCTGGCCTCGCTGAAGCAGGTGAGGAACGCTCCCGGAGTTGGGTTCCGTTCAGCGTGAAGCGTCCATCGCTTGGGTCTAGGTCTGGGTCTGGGTGCTCGGCTAATTTGGTATTTGGGGCGCTGCTGCACTAGATAGAGCTGTAGAAATGCCAGTTTTATGCAGGGTTGTGGGAGATAGATTGGGATCCACAGCAACTAAGCTGTGCTTCAACATAGGATTTGGGCATCCCCACATTGACTAGGATATCGCCAAAGTGCTAATAATGCTTGGTTAAGGTGCTGAATTTGATATATGTACTTGGAGGACTTCTTATATTTTCCTTCATATTTGAAGTGCAGGGACGAAACCCGGTTCATTTGCATTGCATCAGTACCAAATGTTTTACTTACAGTACATCATTTCGTTACTTTGAGTAATGAAATTCGGTTCTTCCGTGGTGGAAAAAATCAGTACCAAATGTTTTACTTACAGTACACCATTCCTGTATATATGTTCTGATATTCCAAATATTGCAATAGTTTAGATATAACTATATAGGTTTGAGGTCACAATCTTGTTTGAAACATGCTGAAACCTTTTACATCAGTCTCTGGGTTTGAGCAGCTTAGCACAAATTTAGCTTTGCTGATTTTTGTAATAAAGGGTTTAAAATAGTGGGTTCGTGTGTCTAGTCTAGTTCTTTTTGGCAGCTCTAACTGATCCTTTTTCGCCCCATTTCTCGTGATTTAAACAGCCAGGACCAAAAGATTTTCCAATCCAATGCTTCATCAAGAGAAACAAGAAAAATTCTATGTTCTATCTCTACCTTGGATTGACAAAAAGTAAGTTTATATGGCATCATACAGTTCCTCCCCTAATGCCTTACTCTGTTGTTCACTTATTCCTTTTGGTCTTAGTGGTGAAATTCAGTCTTAAAAAACACTTTGGCATGCAGTATGAGTATCATAAACCTGGTTTTCTGAATTATTCCTTTGTTTTTTGTGCTCTGCTATTTGCTTCATTTGTTCTAAGGATCTGTAATGTATGCGTTCAAAGCTTGTCTTTACTGAATGTTGTGTCTGAACTGCTTTTATATGTCCGTGCACAATTCAGAACTGAATGTCCACAGGGAGAGCAACTTGTTATTTTCACTTGTGTATTTTATTTCAGTGTAATAACAAGATAGTGCATGTTAAGGGATTTCTTTTTTTGTTAGCAACAGCTGATAGAGTCAGACAAAAGATTTACGCACCTTGGACATGATATCTGATAGAACACTGGAGGAGATTGTGTGGATAAGTTAATGGCAGAAGTTTGCACGGATCACTAGAATAATTTACCAAATGCATGCTTTGCTTAACATTATTCGTGTTGGTTTACATGACTGTTCTTTCCTTGTTGATTCACCAATAAGGTTTTTTGAGAATATTTTTTCTGGCTGTTTGCTTTTTAAAGATTTGATGTCTGCCACAGACAAAGGAAAGTTTCTCATGGCTGCTAAAAGGTTTAGGCGGGGTGCTCATACAGAGTATATTATTTCCCTTGATGCTGATAATACCTAATGCAAGAATAATATGGTTTATGTAGTTATTTTGTATTTTTATTCTGGGGCTACTGGATTTATGTGATTCTTCAAAACAGGGGTTTCTGTTTGGGCCTTAGGGGAGATTAAGGAGAACATGAGCAATTGAGCAGGCACTTTGACATAAAATAGAGTTAAAATTTCCTTTATTTTTATTTTAGTGATGCAGGCAAATTTAGTACCTGGTTATGTTTGCTAGCATTACATTATCCATGTTATATGTTATATATTTCCTTAACAACAAAAGGAGGGTCTTATTCCTTTTCTTTTCCATTGGTCTTGTGGGTTGGAACTCTTCATGCCAACAGTCTCTAGGAATTATAAGCAAGCAGTCCTTTCTTTTATTCTCGAACGTGCTGGAGAGCTGCGTATCATTCCATTAGGGGGAAAACAGATGTGTTGTTGATTACATGTTGCAGTAATTACTCTACTCTCCATTTGATTTCTTAGTGCTGACAATTTTAGTCTTGTGTGTTTGTGTTGTTGCTTTCTTGTTATAGAACTGACTATACTTCTGCTGCATCCATTGTATTGTAGGTCTGATTTTTGGGGAACACACTTCAAAATATGACAGCCAGCCACCTTATGATGGTGCAAAGGCATCAAGCACTCGATCTATTCGGTGCTTTGGAAGCAGGCGAATCAGCCCCCAAGTATCGTCGGGCAACTTTGATGTTGGACAGATTTCCTACAAATACAACCTGCTCAAATTCAGAGGGCCTAGGAGGATGCATTGCACCATGGAGTGCCCCTCTGTTCAAGAGACCTGGGAGAACTCCCTCAAGGTGAAGTCTTTGAAGCAAACGGGTAGCACTGTCCTTAAAAACAAAGCCCCACGATGGCATGAGCACTTGCAATGCTGGTGCTTGAACTTCCATGGACGGGTGACAGTTGCATCTGTCAAGAATTTCCAGCTGGTGGCTACAGCCAACCCAAGCCATCCTGATAGCGTCGGTGACGAGGAAACTGTTCTCCTGCAGTTCGGTAAGGTTGATAATGATATCTTCACCATGGATTATAGCCAGCCGCTCTCGGCATTTCAGGCGTTCGCCATCTGCCTTAGCAACTTTGGGACAAAGCTAGCTTGCGAGTAACAATCATGTCGCAGAATGGCTGTGTACACCAACTGTCGAATCCTCTGATGTCTTCCGGCCTTCCGGGTGCTATTACCATGGCTTTCGCAGTTAGAGGCTACCTCTACCTTTTCTTCAGGAATGGTTTCAGCCGTGCCATTTACAAGAATTGCATAAATTCGCTTTGCAGAGTTGTTTCTAGGACAGAAGATGTATGTAGACTTAGCTTGTGCTGGGAATTGAAAAGGAAACGTGCCTCTTGTACATAAGCACTTGAATTGAGGAGCTAATGCTTCCCCTTTTCTTTGAGAGCCACCATCCTGTAATAATCTCGACTATGAGTTTGAGTTATATAATCATGGTGGCTAGCGATCAAAATTTAAGTTTGTGTTGGCTGTAGTCTCCACAGATAGAGGCAACTATATGTGGTGGGGGTGTTTGGTTCCACGGATTAAATTTTAGTTCCTGTCATATTGGATGTTTGATACTAATTTAGAGTATTAAATATAGACTAAAAATAACTAATTGCACAGACTACGATTAATTTGCGAGACAAATTTTTAAGCCTAAGTAGTCCATGATTTGACAATGTGGTGCTACAGTAAATATGTGCTAATGATGGGTTAATTAGACTTAATAAATTTATCTAGTAAATTAGTCTTCATCTATGTAATTAGTTTTATAATTAACTCATGCTTAGTCCTCATAATTAGCATCCGAACGTCCGATATGACGGAAACTAAAATTTAGTCCGTGGAACCAAACTCCTCTTAATCTTCTAAAATTATAGCCTGAGCAATAGCACAGGTTGGACCGGTTGGAGTAGCCATCTGAATTCGCTGACATAGTTGCTGGAGGAAACAAGCTATTCGGCTGCAGCCCGCCTAGATTACTAGCTACTCGTACGAATCCCTGCTGGCCTTGGCAACGTCGGTCTCCAGTGTTTCCATCTGCTGCTCAAGCAGCCTCAGCCTCTGACTCATGTGGTTTAGCCTCTTCGTGGCAGACTCATCTGCAACGAAACGCAAGGATCAGTCAGTTTCTCCTACTGAATATTAGGCCAAGGAATGCAGAGGAGTTTCAGTTACGCCTACCGAGCTGCGTGATGAACTGCGAGACGCCGGTCGCCGCCCCCTGGCCGGTGTCAGCAGCGACGGCCGCGCCAGCGTTGGTGGGTTCCTGCGACTTGGATGATGAGCCACCTCTCCTCCTCCCAAGCATATCTGCAAACTAGCCGCTCTTCCTGTCACACTATAAGCCTTCAAGCAGCTCACCGAGGCATGAGTGATTGGTGCCTGGTGTAAGTGTAACGATGTCCTTATATACGTGCCTGGACGTGCTTGATTTTTTGACTGCCCCCATAATTGGATGGAGTGCATCACAAACCGATTGGATTTTGTGCTGTGGTCTAAAGATTTCACTGACTGAGCTTGCTTCAGTCAAATGTTGGAGTCAGAGTCAGACCTGGCAACTTGGACCGGAACCCTGGCCACCAGTTACGTCAGACTAGGGGCTTCTCGCTTCACTGGCTCGTGACTCGTGTGAGTGAGCTTCCAGTCTTCAGAGTTGGAAATCAGATGGAACTTCTGTGCAGTGTGCACACAGATTTCACTGAAGTAACACACGCGATACTAACAGTTTCGGTTTGCAATGCATGCCTACCTGCGTTCCCTGTCCCGTCCGTTTGCTTAGTGCAGAAAACTTTAAACTTTCGCGGCTTGTACCGCGGGCACGGCACATCCGTTGCGTATGGATCGCGGTTCTACGGAGGCACCGAATTTTCGGCTAGTCCTCCGCCTCTCCTCGTGAAAAGAAAATCGACGCAAACCTGCGTTTCTGTTTTTCACGGCCGAACAAACAATTTTCAGTGGTTGAATGGCCAAGACAGAGCTGCGTCACTGCGTGGCCGGTGACGTTGACGATTCCGCAGGATTCGGCAGGCAAGGCACCAGGGCTTGCCAGTTTTGAACCCCGAGAGCTTGTTTTCAGAGTCCCAGCCTGGTGGAATCCCCGACGGCCGACCCGAGCCAAGTGCATTGCAAAAGGACCGAAGCAACTTCTGAAACCTGAGGCCGGGAGTGCACGAGAGGCTCCTCGGCAGTGCTACAACATTTACCAGGCGATGCCGCAAGCAATGACCACCACGGTCCACGGCCACGGACTGCCTTGCTGCCCTGCCTCCTACGGCGAAAGGACGTAGCGCATGCTCCACGGTTTCCACCGGCCGTCCGGCCTAGGTAAGGTAACCGCCCTGCCTGTAGCAGCAGGTTTTCGGTGAAGCCGGAAAAACGCTTCCGCCGTTCCGCGCAAGAACCGTGCTGCTGACTCCTGAGAACGTTGCAACGCAAGTGGCGTGAAGGCCCTGCCCACCGCCCACCCGACTGGAGCGTTACCAGCGGGCAGCGTCGTCTGCCCGTCCCTCCGCCGTCTCCGTCACCCTCGCGTTGCTGGCCGGCCGGTGTGAGGACTCCTGACCCGAAGAGAGAAGCAAAGCAATCGGCGGTGATGCGCAGGTCTCTCCTGACGTCGCCATGTGAGTACGTGACACGGCGTCGGTCCGGTCCGGCCCCCGAGCAGATGCACTCATGCACGCGAGACGGCGGAGATTGGTTGGGTCACGTCACGACCGCCGGTTCAACTCGAGCGCCGCGGACGCGGACGCAGACGCAGACGCGGAGACGGGGTCCTCGTTTGTGACGGGCATGTGATGCGTTCCCGGCGCGGCGTCTGAGATCTGACTGCTAGCTCCTAGCCTCGAGACAGAGGACTTGTCTTGTATCCGGCGCCGCAGCGGCAGCTGCAGAGAGGAGTATGTAGTGGTACGAACTTGGTATTATCGCGCGATTCAACGAAGACAGCCGGATCCAGGTACACGACCGTGCCTGCCAGCAACCGTGGCAACTTGGGCAAAAGCAGCAGAGTCCGGCGCGGCGGCTAATACGGACTACGGAGACGCGTACAGCCAGCCGGCCAGCCAGCCCGGCCGGAAAACGGGGGCAGAGGTAAGTAAAGGCAAAGGCAAACCGACGGGCGGGCGACGTGTTGGTGTTGGTACCGGGCTGGCCGGGAATTGATGGGTGGGTGGTGGGGACGTGGGGTACAAGCAACCGAGCGTTACTCGCGGCGCTGGCCCGGACGGACGGACGCGGCCCCGGGGAGGGTCCACCCGCCGGCCGACGCCGGTGGTTCCCAAGTCCACGCCGCGCGCCCGCGCCTGCCTCGGCGCGTGCCGTTCGGTGCCGTGCCGTCCGCGCCAGTGCGTGACAGGCAGGGGGGTCTGCGCGGAGCGTGAGACGGTGAGAGGAGCAGGAGCCCGTCCCAATTCAATGCTGCGGCCGGAGGCCGGATGGCTCGGCTTTCTCTGCCCGCCGGTCGCACGGCACAAGCCGAGTAGCTGGCAGCGCGTGGTGGTCTACTCTAGGGAGGGGGGCTGGGCTACTGGGGTGGAGCCGTGGCGGGAGAGGCGCGCGCTGGCCACGTACACCGAACGGAGACGCGCGTGGGCGTGGCCGGCCTTCACGGACGGGCGGGGGCGGCCTCCGGTGTGGTCGTGTCGAGCGGCTGGTACGCGTACTTTTCGTGGCTGCCAAGGTGTGGTCCTTGTTATCGACACCGGGCGAGTAGGTACTCCGATTTCCGTCGGTCGCGTCGTCGAGATCTACGCGTTCTCGGCGGTGTTTTGGACTTCGAACGGGCCAGCCAAGGAAAGTATGGCTGTTCTTCCTGATTCGTCGAGGCTCAAAAGAGACGGCAGTGGACGACGGCGGTGAGGTGAACGGCAGCTGAAGGAGAAGAGGTTTACCACCTGCGTGACCGTGCGAAGCAAAACCATTTCCCCGTTGAGCAACTCCTCTAAACATACAAGGTTGTTTAAATATCCTCTAAAAAGCATTCGACGATTCAAAGCTTTTTCTTTCTTTCTCGCGTACAACGGTACCCGCACACATCTTGACTATTTGAAGAGGCCAGTGAGCAGATTTTAGACTAATAAAGTCATACAATCATCTCGAGTTTAACAAATGCATCGTCTCCACATAAAATAATTAAGTACGAACTTAAGTTGCGATCGGTTGTGTAATTTGGCGAGCGCACGACCCATCTTCCTCCACGCTAGCACCCTCGCCCAACCTCGGCGCCTATGCCACCCCCCCCTCTAGCACTTCATTTATCTCCACGGCGCGATCATGGCTTCCGCCTCCCACGACCCTGTCCTCCATAATCACAAGGGGTGTGTTTGGAAACCTGTATCTGGCCAGCCTGGACGGCTGGCCGGGCTATGGCCAGCTAGAGTCCGGTCCAAACGATGCAAGTGGTTGTGTTTGGTTGCATGTCCCTGTGAAGCCGAGGCGAGCCGAGATCGTGTTTGTTTGCTTGTACACAAGGAGTGTGGCTACCTTGCACTGCAACGTGGTAGCCGTACCACCACAGAAGTCGTCACACGCATTTCATCGAGCAGTTGGTGGGCGCAAGCTAGTCCAGCGCCCGGATGGGCATGGTGCGGTGCATCACCGGTGAGGGACAAGGACCTGGAGGACATGGACGACGACGCGAGCATGCGGACCCATGGGCGGCGGCGGAGCCAGGACGCGCGCGCAGCCAGCCGCGGCGGCAACAACGGGCAGCGGCGGTACTCACGCATGCGCACGCCGGAACGACATCTAGAGGAACTGTGGCGGCCCTCTCCCTCCTGCTGAAGCCCTGCCTGCAGTGCCATCTGCCGAGCTAGGCAGCTATAGCACCCCGCCACGTGCTTCCGTCCCCAAATCCCCCACCCTCCACCCCCGCCCGCTCGCCTCAAGCCCCAGGTACGGGAGCAGCGCGTGTTCCGATGGGAGTTGCAGCCCGAGAGCGCAGCCGGGCTGTTGGGCCACGCTACCAAACAGGCCCAAGTACACCGGAGACCACTCGCTTAGCACCGCCCCTGTCGTTAGCCTCACCCAATTGTCATCTCCCACCGCCTCGGCGGGCTGCTCCCTAGCCGCCCCGCCCTATCGCCTATCTCGACTGCCACCATCGCGCAGCCGTTGTCCCCTAAAACCCTTTCTACAGCGGTCGTCAGAAACTGAATCACCTAGCCTGAACCTGAGATCTTCTTCCTCTGTTGGTAGCGCCAGATGGATCGTGCGAGGGTATGAACGCGCGACCCATCGCGTGTTTGAGTTTGCGAATAAGTAACCATAGTTATGGACAACAAATTAGAGACTCAAACCCATATAGCTAGTTCCATCTTAAAGAACCTAAGCAAATGTGGCTTTATTTAATTTATATGTTCGAAATGACCATTTCTCCACTTAGGCCGTGTTTAGTTCGGTCGATTCGGCGCCGACGAAATCACTGTAGCTACACTACAGTGACGTTTTGTTTTTATTTGGTAATAATTGTCCAATCGTTGACTAATTATGCTTAAAACGTTCGTCTCGTAAAGTACAACCAAACTATGCAATTAGTTTTTGATTTCATCAACATTTAGTACTCCATATATGTACCAGCAAATTTAATATAACGAGGAATCTTTTTTTTACGTAGTGTAAAGTTAGAAATTTAGTGAACTAAACATAAACATGCCCTTAAAACCAAGGCCCAGAAGTAAGTTTTGACGGCTACACGTCTCATAGAGATGTGATGCACAGATATCTGAATCTGCTACGGACGGATGGCGCCGATGATTAGCATCGCGGCGCGGCAGACCCCACATGGCCACGTCCAGCCGAGGTGCGCAGCGGCAAGCGCAATCTGCCGCGCCGCGCCGTGCCGTCCTCTTTGCCGGGCAACGTCGCCACGCCAGTCGCCACCACCAACAGAGACGACAATAATTGCCCGCCTCCCCGCACGCGGGCCCACCAGACCCCGTCACCCACCCCGCACCGCAAGCGCGCCGAGCCGAGTGGTTGTCTTCTCTCTCCGCTCCCCTCCCCCTCTCCTCGGCCGCCCGCCACTGCCTGCGCTTCTCGCTTCGCTCCCCTCTCTCTCTCCTCCTCTCCTCTTTCGGCGCCTGAACGCAAGCCGCCCAACGGCGACCACCTCAGCAGTCACCCGCGATCCCACGCCCCCCACCCGACACACCCGCGCCCGCGCGCCTCCCGTGCCCCGAGGCCGCGCGAATTCCCCGCCCTGCCCTTGCGGCCCGCCATCCCCCAGGGGGCACGCCAGTAATTTCCTGCCGCCACCGTGTGCCGTCCGGTCTCCGGACCCCGGTGGGCTGTCGCCTCGCCTGCCCTGCCCGCCTGCGCTACGACGCTGCAGGCCGTGCTCTCCCTCGCGTCGAGTCTTTATCTCTCTCTCTCCGAACCCAAAGCCGACCGGCCTCGCTTTCGCCGGTTACCCGGTCAAACGCATCAAACGGCGGCACGTCTCCGATCGGGTCACCACGATGCCCTGCCCCCGCCGGTCAGGTCAGGTCGCCCCACCGCGTCGTCACGTGCGACGCGCGTGCGGTCCTCGGCCGGCGCCCCACCCCCCTCCCCCTCGCCGTGTCCTTTTATTCCACCCGCCCCCGCCTCACCGCCCGCACCCCCAATTCACGCCAGCACCACGACTTCCGTGCTCGTCGCCTTCTCGGGCTAGGGTTCGGCGCGAGATCTGATTCCGGGCGCCGGAGAGCGAGATGGAGGTGAGGGAGATGGCGATGGCCGCGGCGGCTGCGGCGGCGTCGGTGGGCGGGGGAGGAGGAGGGGTCAAGCTGCCGCCGCCCAATCCCAACCTGCCCTACAGGGAGGACTGCTGGAGCGACGGCGAGACGGCGGCGCTCGTCGCCGCCTGGGGCAGCCGCTACGTCGAGCTCAACCGCGGCAACCTGCGCCAGAAGCAGTGGCAGGAGGTGGCGGACGCCGTCAACACGCGCCGGGGAGCCTCCGCGCGCCGCCGCCCGCCGCGCACCGATGTGCAGTGCAAGAACCGCGTCGATACCCTCAAGAAGAAGTACAAGGCCGAGCTCGCCCGCAACGCGCCGTCCGGCTGGTCCTTCTTCCCCGAGCTCGACCGCCTCGTCGGCCCCACCCTCAGCGCCTCCGCCTCCAAGAGGCCCTTGCCATCGCCGGCTCCTCAATTCGCTCTGCCCTTGCATCCACCAGCCGTGCGGAGGCCCCCATCGCCTTCGCCGTCATCATCCTCCCCGCCGCCGCCTATGGCTTTGCCTCTACCCAATTACCGCCGTGGGTCCCCGCTCCCTGCTGCTGCCCTCATCCAGAAGGAAGCTGCCGCTGCGGCCGCTGCTGTGTCTGATTCAGAGGACTCCGATGATGCCGGTGGCAACAACAATCACAATTCGCCCCGGTCGCCTTCGCGTTCGCTGTCGTCGCTCTCTGGCAGTAACAAGAAGCGCAGCAGAGATGAGGCTAGCAGCAGTGCTGACAAAGGTTTCAGGGAGCTAGCAAGGGCGATCGAAGCTTTTGCGGAGATGTATGAGCGTGTGGAGAGTGCTAAGCAAAAACATGCGGTGGAGATGGAGCGGCAGCGAATTGATTTCCTGAAGCAATTGGAGGTGAAACGTATGGAGAATTTCGTCGAAGCCCATGTGAAGCTGGCTAGAGCAAAGCGTACAAAGAAGACTACAGGGGTTGCTGCCGAGGGTGCTGGTGCGATGGAGTTGGTTGCCACCGTTGCTGCGCTGCCTTTTGTCTCCACCTCCACCTTCCTCTGATATTGAGGAAGAGTTTAGGTAAAGTCTGAACTTTAGATTAGCATTGCCCTAGGCTACTGTTCCTTTTCTTTTGTTCAATGGCTATGTTAAGACATTGTAATTCTACCGTGGATAATGCTCATGTTTCAGTTATTGACAAGATTGTTATGCTTTATTAGAGAGATGTTTATTGAATGCTTTAACTTATGATCTTAAGAATGGATTAATCTGTTGAGTCTAATTTGCTGGAGCATAAGTGCATAACAATCTTTGGTGCCTCTAGCTTGTGCTTGAGAATCTTGTATGATTTCGGCTCTCGTTACTGTTAGTGCTATAATTGGCGTTTGGTATCTCAAGTATCTGCATGTATGCTAGTATATCACTGCAGGCAGGGTGTGTGCTATGACCTTATGATTTCCTACGATGCATGCTGATAACCTTTTCAAACTTGTCCATGGTATGTGTACAATAATTTAGATTTGTTGAGTGACAATGATGGCAATATTTTCAGTGCGCAGAGAAATTATAATTGTATTTGTGTTGACCAAAGTAATTCTATATCATTGTATTTTTGACATTTTGCTAGCTTATAGTTAGAAGTACTAGCACTTACGTGTTTGAAACTGTTGATATAAAAACGACATGCTCAGAAGAATGGAGATAGTTGTTTATATGTATGTAGGTGATCCTAACTGAGGTGAGACTGACAAAAATTCTATGTCAAATATAAGCACACACCAGCTTGAGGCTTTTAGTTTTTTTAAGTCTTTTTAACACTCATTCTTAGTGTGCATTTGACACATTTATTTTGGGTTATTATATAAATGTAGATTTGAAGTGGCTTTTGCCCATAATAAACACCTAAATATTTGCGATGGGAAGTTATGCTGGTGATCTGTTAAGATTTTATAAGAGTATTTTGGATCTGTATGATTTTGCTGCCGTATTTATGATATTTATGTGTGACTCTCTGAACTCTGTGCTGAGTTAAAATATGGAATCGAGTTTTGTCACTACTTGTCCAAAGTGTAACCCACAGGATGAACAAATGTTTCGCATGATAAGATGTATGTTTATAGAGGATCTCTGGATTTGTTAGTTGATCTTGTAATCAACTCCAGACCTTAACTCTCTGGGAGAAATTAAACATTGTGTTATTGTTCTTTGAAATTGTTAGAAACTTCAAGCTTCTTGACAACATATAACTATAAAGAGTTCAAGCTAGCTAAATCAAAATAATCTAACGTGTACTGGAAAATATCCTATAACCTACTACTGAGATTTTGAATCCTAGACTGTAGGCCTTGATATTGTCTAACGCTTCTCTGGGTTTGAGGTCCAGATTGGTTTTCTATACTTTACTACTCCTGGCATGAAGTGCTGAAGCTTTACAAATATTAAGGTATAGTTGAGGAACCACCTGTTTTGTTCTAAGGTGCTTGTACAACCACCAAGAAATAAGCTTGTCTGGTGAAACTACCTTTTGTGTTTATAAGTCTATTAGCCCAACAAGCCACTAAGGCATGAATTTTCAACGCTGATACTTTTGAAGATCCTCTCGACTCATGAACTGTGGGCATTGAGCCATTACAACAACAACAAAGCCTTTAAGTCCCAAACAAGTTGGGGTAGGCTATAGTTGAAACCCAACAAAACAATAAAGGTTTGGGCACGTGAATAGCTGTTTTTCAAGCACTCCTATCTAAGGCTAAATCTTTGGGTATATTCCATCCTTTCAAGTCTCCTTTTATTGCCTCTACCCAAGTCAACTTCGGTCTTTCTCTGCCTCTCTTCATGTTACTATCCTGGCTTAGGATTCCACTACGCACCGATGCCTCTGGAGGTCTCCGTTGGACATGTCCAAACCATCTCAACCGGTGTTGTTAAAGCTTTTTTTCAATTGGTGCTACCCCTAATCTATCACGTATATCATCGTTCCGAACTCGATCCCTTCTTGTATGACCGCAAATCCGACGCAACATACGCATTTCCGCGACACTTATCTGTTAAACATGTCGTCTTTTCGTAGGCCAACATTCTGCACCATACAACATAGCAGGTCTAATCGCCGTCCTATAAAACTTGCCTTTTAGCTTCTGTGGTATCCTTTTGTCACATAGGACACCAGATGTTTGGCGCCACTTCATCCACCCTGCTTTGATTCTATGGCTAATATCTTCATCAATATCTCCGTCTCTCTGAAGCATTGATCCTAAATATCGAAAGGTATTCTTTCTAGGCATTACTTGACCTTCCAAACTAATATCTTCCTCCTCTCAAGTAGTAGTGCCGAAGTCACATCTTATATACTCAGTTTTAGTTATAGTGAGTCTAAAACCTTTGGACTCCAAAGTCTCCCTCCATAACTCCAATTTCTGATTCACTCCTGTCCGGCTTTCATCAACTAGCACTACATCGTCCGCGAAAAACATACACCAAGGGATGTCCCCTTGTATGTCCCTTGTGATCTCATCCATCACTAAGGCAAACAGATAAGGGCTCAAAGTTGACCCTTGATGTAGTCTTATCCTAATCGGGAAGTCATCCGTGTCTCCATCACTTGTTCGAACACTAGTCACAACATTGTTGTACATGTCCTTAATGAGCCCGACGTACTTCGTTGGGACTTTATGTTTGTCCAAAGCCCACCACATAACATTCCTTGGTATTTTATCATAAGCCTTCTCTAAGTGGATAAAAACCATGTATAGGTCCTTTTTCTTCTCCCTATACCGCTCCATAACTTGTCTTATTAAGAAAATGGCTTCCATGGTTGACCTTCCGGGCATGAAACCAAATTGGTTCATAGAGACCTGCGTTATTGCTATCAAACGATGCTCGATAACTCTCTCCCATAGCTTCATAGTATGGCTCATCAACTTAATTCCTCGGTAATTAGTACAACTTTGAATATTTTCTTTATTCTTGTAGATCGGTATCAATATACTTCTCCACTCGTCAGGCATCTTTTTCGATCAAAAAATATGGTTGAACAGCTTGGTTAGTCATACTATAACTATGTTCCCGAGGCATCTCCACACCTCGATTAGGATATCATCCAGTCCCATCGTCTTACCTCCTTTCATCCTTTTCAACGTCTATTTGACCTCAGATTTTTAAATTCTCCACACAAAGCACCTATTGGTGTCATCAAAAGAGTCATCCAACTGAAAGGTTGTGTCCGTATTCTCACCATTGAACAATTTGTCAAAATACTCTTGCCATCGATGTCGGATCTCAGCCTCCTTCACCAAGAGATGCTTCCTTTCATCCTTAATGCACTTAACTTGGTTGAAGTCCCTTGTCTTTCTGTTACGAACCCTAGTCATCCTATAAATGTCCTTCTCTTCTTCCTTCGTACTCAAATGTTGGTAAAGATCCTCGTACGCTCTACCCTTTGCCACACTTACAGCTCGCTTTGCAGTCTTATTTGCCACCTTATACTTCTCTATGTTGTCCACACTCCTGTCATGGTATAAGTGTTTATAGCATTCTTTCTTCTCCTTAATAGCCCTTTGGACTTCCTCGTTCCACCACCAAGTATCTTTAGTCTCGCCTCCACTTCCTTTGGTTACTCCACACACCTCTGAGGCCATCTTCCGAATGTTGGTTGCCATCTTCTCCCACATATTGTTTATGTCCTCTTCTTCCTTCCAAGAGCCCTCTTTGATAACCATTTCCCTGAATAACTCTGACGTTTCCCCTTTCAGTTTTCACCACTTTGTTCTTTCAATCTTAAGCTTGTTTATCCCTATGGGCACGCACCTGAAAACGAAAGTCTGCCACCAAAAGCTTATGTTGAGAAACAACACACTCCCCTGGTATCACCTTGCAACCCAAGCATGCCCGTTTGTCCTTTCTTCTTGCGAGGACAAAGTCAATCTGGCTAGAGTGTTGTCTGCTACTGAAGGTCACTAGATGAGATTCTCTCTTTCTAAAGAAAATATTGGCTATCATCAGGTCAAAAGCTACCGCGAAGTCCAGAACTTCCTCCCCATCCTGATTCCTACTACAATACCCAAAGCCTACATGTCCATTAAGATCTCCTCCTATAAAAAACTTCTCACTACTAGGTACAGCTCTAATCAGGCCATCTAAGTCTTCCTAGAACCGTCTCTTAGCACTATCGTCGAGGCCTACTTAGGGGTATACGCACTAATTACGTTCAAGACCATATCACCAACGACAAGCTTGACTAAGATAATCTTATCTCCTTGCCTTCTCACTCCCACCACACCATTCTTGGGGCTCTTATCAATCAAAACTCATACTCCATTTTTATTCGCGACTGTCCCTGTGTATCAAAGCTTGAAACATGTATTGTCCACCTCCTTCGCCTTCTGACCCTTCCATTTAGTCTCTTGAACGCATAATATATTTACACGTCTCCTAATCGCGGTATCAACTAATTCTCTTAACTTACCTGTAAGCAACCCTACATTCCAACTACCTAAATGGATCCTAGTTGGTTTGACTAGCTTCCTTACCCTTCGCACCCGTCGACTCAGATGTGAAGACCCTTGCTCATTTTTTACTACACCCTGGCGTCGATGTAACGCGCCACTAAGGAAGCGACGATCTGATCCTTGCTCACTTGATACCATGCCCAGATCGCGACACGACGCGTCACCAAGGGGGTGCCGACCCGGCCCTTACCCATTTAACACCATACCCGGGTTCCGATATGGTGCGTCGCTAAAAGGTTACGCCCTAACGATTTTCTTTTGTGTTTCATCTCCATTAGAATGGCTAGATTTAACGTTGGTTCGCCACGCCTATCACAATCCTCCTCCTTTACCAGGGCTTGGGACCTGCTATGTCGAGACAACATAGGCGGAGTATATATGTAAAAAAAATCCTTCGTCTGATTTGTGGTATATATGTAAAATAGACTGAATGCATGTTCATTTCACTGTGAGGGAGCCTAACTGTAATGTGCCATCCAGATGGATTATGTCTTATTTCTTAACATGATTGTTGCTGCAGTTACATTTGCATTCTGTGTCATTCTAAAATACCATCTATGTAATTTAGGACCCCAGTTCATTTTTTCAACAAAATTGGCGGTCTGTAGTAATAATTGAGAATAAGAATGATATCCTGAACCAAATAGGGGAGGTAAGGCAAATAGTCCATCCAAACTAATAAGGCTCAGAAACTCGACGATTTATTGTTTGTTCTATTAAACTAATGTGAAGCTCTCCTGTTAAGTTAGCTAATGTTTCATTGCATATTTTAAAGAAAACAGGTCCTGTTGACTTATTGTTTTTCGTATTTGTTGAAACAAGTAAACTTTGATTGCTACTGTTCTCTTAAATGATCTATTGATTGTTTGTCTACTACTCTCTTTTGCAGATCATCAGTGTCAATCACATGCGATGGCATTCTCTGTCCAGTGAGAAGGACCGCTGGGTAGTAAACACTACTGCCCTCGGTTAGTCTGAAACAGACCTATTCTTAGGTTCATGGCAGTTTGTAATCTAGTACATGATTAATTGAAGACTAGAAGTTCGTAGTGTAAAGCTTTTGTTGGCAGTGTTTCTCCTGGCTGTTTACCTGATTGTTTAATTGACTGTATAGCTCAGAGTGTCTGACCTTATCTGAGAAAATATGGTGAAGGAAAATGGTCTTGGAATCATTTCCTAGTCTTGTCTGGAAACATGCAATTCCGAGGTAGTTGCAATTGTAGGATGTTTGGTTTGACGAATGAGGTGCTCTGTCTTTTTCTTGTTCCTCAATTTTATGTTTGGTTTATGGAATATGATGAGTTGATCTATCACCACCTGGTTTCTAGGGAATGGAGTCACTACACTAAATTTGATTAATGGGTTCTATGATATACCATCTCATCCAAAAATTGGGTGTTTCCTTACACTTTTTTTTTTAAGATAAGGTGTTTCCTTACACCTGTGCTTGTCTCCTGGTCTCTTGAGTCTTGACTTGGGAAGGCACTTCAGTACGATTGGTTCTTGCGGTCTCGCTGCTTGCATGTAAACTAAGAATGGCGTGAAAGTAAAACCTGCTCATCTGCTACGAAGTGGTACGGCACAGTTTACGCGAGTGAATGCCACAATTGTGTGAATGCTCCATTGCTTGCTACTTGGCAGTAGACAATTTGTGCCGGTAACGCCCATTTCAGTGAAGGGACAGCAACTAAATTTGCCTGGTTCCTTCTCATTCTCCGTCTCACCGTTTTGGGAAACCAGAAGGCGCCACAAGACCGGAATCATGATGCATTTTGGGATACTGGCATACTGCGACTGCCAGTAGCTATGGACTTGAGTGTTGCAGTACATTTCAGTTTGATAAGGATAAGGTCATTTGAAACAAAGCGCACAAAACTGATGTCAATCTGCAAGCGACAGCAGGCTCAATTACGGGTAGCGGGCTGAGACTAAAGGGGAAAGCCAGAGCAGGGCACGGCGCAGCGAATCAGGCAGGATAATTCCCAATTGGAATATTATGTGAAAAAAATAGAAAAATTCAAATTTCAACTGAGATACTAGTCCCACAGAATGATGCTAAACTAGTTTCTGCGTACGTAGGACTTTTTAACAGAGAAGTGCTTACAGAAGCATGGAAGGCTGGGGGCTTCCAGGTTCCAATCTCCCAATACAGATACACCTTTAATCACGGTCCCACAACTCAAGCATCCAACTGAAAAGTCATTTTTGCACACTTGACAGATGCGATGTATCCATAATGATATGATCTCTAACAGATTCACAAAAGAGAGAAATGACATGAATCTCTCAGAGATTAGCTCACCACGTTGCAAAATAAAATAGTGAATGGGTCTCTAAGCATGGGTTTTACGGGTTTTTTTACATGTGTTTCAAAAAAACCTAGTATACAAAAGGTCAAAAACTATTCAACGAGACATTTTTTAAAAATTGAAGCCATTGTCTGTAAATTGGATAAAACTAAAAATGGAAACTCTTGATTAAGGTTGTATAAGATTATCATGTCATAACAGTTCAATTTGCACAAACATTCCCATGTGGTTCATCGTGCGAACCAGTGGCGGATGCACGATGCGGGATAAGGGGGGGCTAAAACAATGGAGATGTTGATTTGCATGAAGATTTAATGATGAAATTAAGCTTTTGCTACAGTGATTAGGCTTGAAAAGATAAGACATTGAAAATGGGGAAGCTACCCCCCAAATTTTTTTGATCCGCCACAAGGCGTAACATACTTTTTCAGGTGAAGGCGTCAGCCAACTTATAAAGTCGGCTAGACCCTATATCACGCGATCCAGTGTTTTATCGGCGTGCTGACAGTAATTCGCTTCAACAGAAAGCTAATAAATAGGATTTGTACGATGTGTTTACGAAACAAAATGTAACTAGCAATAGCAAGCAATGGAGATTTTCCTACCTACACAGGCTACTAATGTCTTGAACACAATAAATAGACCAAAACCAAACAACTAGTGCCCTGTTCGCTTGACTGATAAGCCATGGCTGAAAGTACTGATGGTTGATTTGTTATAAGAGAAAAATATTATTCGTTGGCTAAAAAAGTACGGCTTATAAGCCAAGCGAATAGGGCGAGACTAATGAAACACACATTCATCCATAGTTAATGCTCCATCTTCCTCGAATAAAACACACTCATCTATGATTCATGAACTTTTATAAACTAGCCATTCCCTAATAAAACATTTGCATAATAAAAAATGAATCGGTCTTGACATTTGAAGACGTGCATTGCTGAGAATTAAAAAGAGTTGTACGCCAAAAACCTGACCAGTTACCACTGTAATAATCGCTCTAATTCACCGAGAAGTTCTGCCACACAATAATTCTAAGAAGCAGAAGCACCTACATTTGGCAGTTTCACATGTTTTGTCCAATTTAGTTTCCAAAAAATAGGTAATTTTCATGCCAAGACATCAAGCTTCCCACTTGAGTTTGATGAGGTAGCAATCACAACTAGTACAATTCTACTTCTTTGGATGATCCAAGCCTCTCAGACTGAACAATAGGGTGCCACCATAGGGTGGCCCTACTGTCTGTCTATCCATACATGGATCACAAAACCACTATTTAGTTGGCAATGAGCCAATGCCACAATATAATTTTGACTATAAATCACAATAAGCAAAATGAAGAATTATGAAGTATAAAAGTTAGTACCTTGATTATTGTCAATAGTGATACGCATTACGTGGATTGATGTATTCATGTACATCATCCAAGAATGGCTGGTATATTTAAATCAGTGTTAACTTTGAAATAGCACAAGAAAAAAACAATGGTATATATAAATGATATTTTTGGAAATCCTTATGTTTCTCGCCAAGTAAGAAAAGAAGTACTTTCTCCTATTCAAATCAATTTGAGCAGAGCTCTTGCTCCTGTCTACACATCAAGGAGAAACAAGCCCAAAGTATAAGTGTAGTGTATATATAAGCTTAAAAATTTCCACTGCGGACGCCTTCTATTCCAAACTCAAACACTGTATGTATTCGTAGCTCTATAACTGAGCCCAAAGTCATGGAAGATGTATAACATGGCAGATTTCAGGTATGAGGAAAAAAAACTGCATTGTCAGAATGTGGAATAGGTGAATTATGATTTTTCAAAATAAAAATCATAAAAATTGTAATTGCATCATCCCAATTATCCCTTTATATATCTTCCCCCCCACCCACCCACGCCACCCCACTATATATAGGCGTCCATCCATGGTTAGCGGCCCATTCGAGACCTCCCCCGGCTCCCCGAGGCCCCCGACCCACGCCCACCGATTGACGGCTCCTTTGACCCCTTCGGTCGTCTGGTCTCATCTACCCCAGCAGCGCCGCGCGAAGCTTGAGGCAATCCCCGCCCTCTCTAGCCCCCTGCGCAATCAGTCCGGCTCCATGGCCAACAGCAACCTGCCGCGCCGAATCATCAAGGTCCGCCTCGCGATCTGGTCGCCCCTCCCCGCTCTCGCCAGATCTATCGCGTTCCTCTTCTGCTCCGTGGAATCAGATACTCTGTCTGCTGGTTTCTGCTGATGATTAATCTGTTTCGGATTTGGATCTGTGCTGTGCAGGAGACGCAGCGGCTCCTCAGCGAACCAGGTGCCTGACTAATTTCGCGCGAGTTCTCTCGGAATTTTGGTGCAATTCGGAGTCTGCTGCTGCTGCTGCGTTGGTCTCCGTTTCTCTAGCATGTTGTTTGATTCCATTTTTCTTCCTCTTCTCAGCGCCAGGGATTAGCGCGTCGCCGTCGGAGGAGAACATGCGGTACTTCAATGTCATGATCCTGGGCCCCGCGCAGTCACCCTATGAAGGTGTTCCTCATTTATGATTGGCTTCACTTGGCGTATTTTTGTATGGATAGTCTGTGTGCTTCTAATGCTGTAATGTTTGCGCTGTGGCATGTGCATTCGATATTGTGAGCCCTGTTTGTAGTGTTGCTGTGTTTTGTAGAAATCATTGCTGCTTGTGTGTCCTCTTATCCTTATGCAGTCATATGCCTCCTTGTTTCTGGAGAATTCACGAATGAATAGTGGATTAATGTAGATGGACTACCAATATGGTCTAGTAGCAGAGTCAAGGTGGTTCATCAGTATGGATATAAGGCACTAAAGTACTAAAAGGTCACTTCATGTCCATTCATCTGTGCCAAGCTCCACTTCAAGGCTCTAGAGTCTAGACCTCTTAGTGGACCTGGTTTTATCAGTCTGCTTTCAGGAATCTGAAAAATTATGTCCAGCCAGAAGTACCTACTCACTTCAATACCTGCAATTAATTTCCATATTATTAGTGGCAAGAGTTTTGACTCTTGTTAGGTTCATGCTGGTGGCATATTGACTAATCTGCCCATGACACAATCCCGATAAATCTAGCTATCATTCAATTTACCAATATTCTTATAATACAAAGGATTGTTCACCATCTTTTGTGTTCAATACAAAGCAGATGAAATAAGAGGTGTGTAGATAATTATTAGGGATGCAAATAGCAACAAGTTGTCAAGTTCCCATATTATGATTTCGTGTTACCTTCTTTTGTTTATTCATTTCTACCTGGTTGCCTGATATAGTTTATTCTGTATATATTTGTTGAACAGGTGGAGTTTTCAAGCTTGAACTATTCTTGCCTGAGGAATATCCAATGGCTGCCCCGAAAGTAATTTCTTGATCAATCATGAATTTGTTCACTAAATCATTAATTGGCATTTATATATTTCCATGTTATATGTGCTTTAGAATTCATTTGTCTCCATTGATATGAATTGTGGTTTATTGCCTGATTACAACCGTTTGATATATTTAATTCTGCTTGATTAACTTCAAAGTCCTATCAAGAACATATTTGTGTTATGTTACTTAATAGAGCCCAGGGCCAGGCCTCCTTCCATTTTGTTACAGGCTAGCTGTCTCTTCCTGTCTTCCATATATATATGCAAGTAATTTCACCTTGCATAGTCAGGGGCAGATCTGATTGAAGGCCAAAGGTAACCATGGCCCCTCCTGGTTTTACAATTTGCCAAAGCGAAAGTTAACCATCTACACTTCTAAACAAATGCACTACATTAAAGCATGCCTCTATAAGCTTGGCCGCCTCTGAAGTTTGATCAAGCTCCACCACGGTGTGTAGTTGTTTAGTAATGAAGATTTTCTCACTTCAACTTTATGTCAGTGGGTTTTTTCTAATGCATCTCTACATTTTTATCCATTCCATTTTCTGGTAGGGTCAATGTGAAGTTGTACTCACTAATTTTCATTGTAATCCTAATGAACAGAAGTACTCCCTCCGTTCCAAAATAAGTCTCCATCTTGCATTTCGAGGAGTTAAATCAATCTTAACTTTGACTATGTTAAAAGAAAATTGTATGAACATTTGTATATCTAAATAGGTTTACTATATAAAAAATATATGACGTGATTAATCTATTGATGTTTATGTGGTATCATGGTATATATTTGGTCAAAGTTGAGATTGTTTTACTCGAAATATGAGATGGAGACTTATTTTGGGACGGAGGGAGTACTAGGCACTTGCTTTTGCTGGGAAATCAGCACTAGCATTCCTTGTGAGTCTATAGTATTTCAGAGTTCTTTTGTATTCCTTACATGTATGGAAGACAGATTTGTTCTTCTGTTAGCTCTTTTGTATTCTTTTCACATAACTTAAACACCTTCCTTGAGTGGTTCTATAATCTATAGTACTTCTGAATTCTGATTTGACCGGTACCAGTTGTCACACTGACATGATTAACAAATGGGGAATGCTTTTTATTCGCCTATTTGGGGATCATTGTTGTCTAGCTTTATTTACAGCTGTTTTATTTATTTTATCTAGCTGTTACTTCGCTGTATTAGTTGCTGATAGTAATTTTACCTTTGCTGTTGCTGTTACAGGTTAGATTTCTCACCAAAATTTACCATCCCAACATTGACAAGGTAGGAAAATGGTACTGTTTACCTTTTTTTTTTGTTGCAAATAAAGTGATGTCTCATCTCTGTCATAATTTGCAGCTTGGTAGGATATGCCTCGACATTCTTAAGGACAAATGGAGTCCAGCTCTTCAGATACGTACAGTTCTGCTGAGGTAACTGCTTATTTTATCGTTTCTCTGGCAACATAGTTCTGATGGTGGGTGATATATGGCTGTACTCTGCATTGTATCATTACAATATCCAATTTCTGGCTTGCACATGTATTTCTCTAGTGTCTACCTCAATGGTTCTAGCATATCATTGTGCTACCATACTGCCCACCTGACAATATTCGGTCTTCAGCATTCAGGCACTTCTGAGCGCCCCAAATCCAGATGATCCTCTCTCAGACAACATTGCGAAACACTGGAAATCCAATGAAGCTGAAGCTGTTGAGACAGGTACTTGTAGTTGCAGTAAACACAGCTATGAGTACATTACAGATGTCCTAATATGGCAGCCTTTGGTCTTGCAGCGAAGGAGTGGACTCGCCTGTATGCAAATGGGGCATGACAACCAAGTGTTGTTTCAGATGTAATAACACTTCCATAGTTTGGGGCCGATTGAATACCCCTTTTGCTTGATGAGAGCAAATTTGTGAAATGTTGCAATGGGGTCAAAACATGTTCGCGAATTGTGCTTTGTACTTGTGGCTGTAGCTCCATTCGCTGCAGTGCCCGTAAGCATCAAAGCAGACGTTGCTTTGCCTGTTCCTATCTGACCATCAGTTGCTTATCCCTCGTGTCCCATCTGTTGTGCTATGAGGATTGAGATTCATGCTGCCGGATAGCTGCTAGCTTGTTCTTCACTTCTTTACTCGGGAGCACTGAAACTGCCTAGGCTACCTTGGCGAACCATGGTTTAATATGGTTAGTTTGGAGGCCGTTTTGCCATGGTATCTCAACACTCTGGAGGAGCTCGTTAAGGGCTTAGTCAGTTAATCCCCTTCCATAGTGGGGATTGGAGGGGATGAGGCGAATTTTGATTTGTAGGGAGATTCAATTCTCTTCAATTCCCGCTAAACTGAACAAGGCCTAATAGTTTTGTCATGCATTGGTTTCTTTCCTCGTTTGGTACGAATATCTTGGCTAGTCCTTGATCATTGCATTGTGTTTGATGTACCTTGGTAAAACTTGATTCCTGGTATTTCCTCGAGCCAGTTATTATATGTAAAAGTTAAGATGTAAACTCAAAGTAGAAAACAATCATAAAAAATAATAAATTTCAGGTACATGTGTGCTACAAGACAAAATTTCTGGTTTTTAGTCTTGTAGTACAAATGCATATGAAATTTGTTATTTTCATATGATTTTTTTTCTAGTTTAAGTTTGCATATAATGGACATACCAAGTCTCGAAAATTGTTAAACGACTGAAGTATGTTTTTAAAAAAAATGGTTTTCATGTTTATATATACCAAAGAAAGTTGTAGTTTGCACTACATATTTTTTTGCAGTAATACCGCGTTCGGCTGTTCCGGTCCCGGATTATTTCAGCTTGTTTCAGTTTATTCTCCCTCACAGGACACTATTCAATCGTCCAAAACCAGCCGAGCTACAGTGCCCGAGTGTACCCTCCGAACGCGCTGACGCGTCATGTTTTGTTACTAACGCCAATGTCTTGTGTCGCATGGCGTCAATCAATAAAAAAAAAAAGAGTCTTGTGTCTCATGTTGTGCCGTATTGTCGCAGGCCGCAAAATGGGCGCACGGCCCATGGACGTCAGCCAGCAGGGCCGTCCACGCCGCATGCACAATGCCATTCCCCGAGCCAAGGAACAGGGTCGACGCCGACCCAAGACGCCCTACGTGGCTACGTTGCGCTGCGCAGGGGTCCTGGGGGAATCGAATCTTCTGCAGCTGGAGCTCTGAATCAGCAGATAAGCTCGGGCGCTCCTTTTCTGTCAACGGAAAGGGTGAGAGAGTTGCAATGGGCTTGGACGCATAAATAACAAAAATGACATGTGTACTCCCCATCGGCTTTGGCAGTTTGGCTTCTCGTCTCGGCCAGGACATACGGAATGATGGATTGCTTGAATTCTTGTATGCCGGCCCATTGGCTCGGGTCCTGGCTTCCTTATCCACTCTTCGATTCCATCCCACTAGAACGTACGACCACTTGTCCACGACCAAAACGCGTCATTGGACGTGGGCGTTGGTTGGGTTGCACCCCTCGTTCGCCCGGCACTGGTCCTGCCCGGCCGCAGCTAGGTCCTCCCGACGACGTGCCGGCCGGCCACAGGCCCACAAACACTAGCAAGCAGCAACTGTTCTTTTCACCTCGCCTCGTGCGCCTAGGTAGCCCCAGGGCACACTTGTAGGATAAGAAAGAACGTGCTGTGCCAAATCGATCGATGCAACGCACCTCCCAACACTTGGACAGCGATGCAAATAGTCGGGGCTTTGTTTGGATATATAATTGGATCACTTGACTAACAATCCTTTTCCTAGAGGAATCAAAGCAGGCTTACTGGTACGCACGTACTGTACGCGACGAAGGACCGCCGGTCACGAGCTAGGAGAGGCAGCAGCGCCTACACTGGGCCACGTTCGCTTGTCTTATGAACTGTACTATTTCAATGAACAAATAGTATTTTTTCTCTTACGACAAATCAACACTTTCAGCCATGACTTTTCAGCGAAGCGAACTGGACATAGCTCCATCGATGATCGATCGCAGGGCTGTCGTCTGTCACCCCCCATATGCATGTTTATCTCAAAACCTCGGTAGCTGCCTAGCTACGTCGCACCTGCACCTAGCTGGTGGCGTATGGTGCAGTGCATTTGCGTTTTGCATGCATGCATGCAAATGCAACGCAACGTGGAAAGAAGCTAGCTCAAGCGCTAGCATAGCTCGGCTCTCGCTCTGACTTGTCCAATCCGATTCAGGCCAGGGGGGAGGGAGAGGGGGCATCCCTCCTGCGGTCCTGCCACAGCTTCCACGTGGCGCGCGACAGAGATTCGTCTTTGCGATGGATGCTCCTCGTCCTCGATCGGGGACGAACACAACACGAAGTCGGATTGAGAGAATTGAAGGGGGCTGATTGATTCATCTCGCACATTGGAATGGCCGGGCGGGCAGTTGTGTGGCATCTCCCCATTCCCCACTCCCCCCATAGCCAAAGCCGCTGCTGGTCTCTTCGCTCCCTTCTTAACAATTACTAGTAAACACGGGCCTTGTGACAGTAATAGTAGTAATCAATACATTTTTTGTTGATTTGGAACAGAGAAGAGTAGACGAGGAGTGCCAAGAAATCCAACTGTAAAGGGGAAAAAAAAGAACATGTCTTAACTGAAATCGCAGGTCACGACTCACGCCTGACGACGAGTAGATAGATGCGTGCCAAAGCCTCTCGACACACATATATATATATATATATATATATATATATATATATATATATATAAACTGGTAGTACTCCAGTAGTGTCAAAGCCAAGTTGAAGGTGTTGACGGGGCAACAATTTTTTTACCGGAAAAAGGAGCCGGCATCTACCATTTAATTTCCCAGGGGCATGCATGCAAAAGCAGAACAGAAGAATCCTGGACGGGGCAAGCCGTGGATACGACCAGACAAATCATGCAGATCGGTTCCCAGCTTTCAGTCAAATCTTCAGACGACACGGGTCCGTGACCCGCATCTGCGCCTGCACGCACGCGCTCCCTAATTCGCTCCCTAACAGTACTACAAATCTACAATGCATGCATGCTGGACAGGTGAATCTCTAGGGGTCCAGAGTCAACAGTAGTTGCGGTTTGGGAGAGCTCCCGCTACAGCTTCTCTAACTCTCAAATAGCGAAACGCTTCTCCAACTTTTAAAATACAGCCAAACACCTAGAATGCTAACCGATTTAGGTATGGATCAGAAAAGAATAATTTCTCCATTTACAATAGAAGCTGGGAGCTAAAAAAAAAATCTACTTCACCCTGCTCCCTGTACTATTATGGTGAGGATCAACAGATGATCGATTCTCAATATCCATGAGCTAATCACTAACGATGTATGCCTTGCCATTCTTCTTTTTCTCGTAGAAATCCTTTTTATTGCCATCCTCCTTGTAAGGCTTATTTTCTTCTTCTCATCACCATCTTCATCACTTGAGTCAGCTTTCTTGCCCTTGTACTTCTTGTACTTGTCTTTCTTGAGCTTGGGGTATTGATGAGCTAGATGACCAAGTTCTCCATAATTATAGCAATCCATCTCGAGATTGGCTTTCTTCTATTGCTAGTGAAGTATTTCTTCTTCTTGCTATCAAATTTGACACCATTCTTGTTGAGCTTCTTAAGCATCTTGATGGTTTTTCTCACCATGAGAGCAAGACTTGCATCATCAATTTCATCATCACTTGAGCTCTCATGATCAACTCTTGCTTTGCCCTTCTTCTCTTGGCTAGCCTTGAATGTCAAGTCTTTCTTTTTGTGGAAGAAGAGTCATCTTATGGTGTGATGTGCATATACATCTCATGTGGATTGATCTTTTCTAATATTTGAGTTGGTGTAGCGGTGGAAAGATCACCTTGATGAAGCACGGTCACAATATGACCATATTTGTCAATAGGAGGACACTCAAGATTTTTCTTACAATATCGGATGGTTGTATTTGTGTGAGTCCAATGTCATTGACTTCCTCTACAAGAACTTCAAGCGTGAAGACATCTCATTAGCATTTTCTTTAGAAAGCATCTCAAATAAATTAAGCTTTTTCATAACAAGATGATAGCGTTCCTCACGCTCACTCTTTGTTCCCTCATGGAGCGCACAAATGTTCGACCATAGTGTATCGACGTCCTTGTGGTTCCGCACACGGTTAAAAATATCTTTGCAGAGGCTTCTAAAGATGGTGTTTCTAGCCTTTGCGTTCCATTTCTTGTAATTAACTTCATCGCCTTGAAGGTGTGTGGGATCCTTAGGTTTTGGGAAGCCTTATGAAAAGGCTCTAAGAATTCCAACGTCTAAAGCTTCTAAATAAGCCTCCATGCGAATTTTTCAATAAGAAAAATTATCTCCCTCAAAGATAGGAGGAGGTCTATCCCCGTGGGACATCTTGCTCTAGGCGGTTAAGCCTAATTCAACGAGCACGAGGCTCCGATACCAATTGAAAGGATCAAGATGCCCAAGAGGGGGGGTGAATTGGGCTAATTCTAAATTCTTTGCAATAATTAAGCCCTACACTTAGCCCACTTCACCCATTGTGCCTAGAATGTGTTTCTATTATTCTATCGTACAAAAGTTTTGTACCCTAGGTTCCAATCCTACTCTAGTATGGCAATTTTAGAAATATAAAGACAAGAAATGAATTGCTCAAATGAAATGCTTCAAGTAAAGAGAGAGAAAGAAACACGGTGATGTTTTCCCAAGGTATCGGAGAGTCGCCACTCCCCACTAGTCCTCGTTGGAGCACCAACGCAAGGGTGTAGCTCCTCCTTGAACCGCGCACGGATCAAGTACTCTCTATGGGCTGATTCTTTGTCACTCCGTCGCGGTGAATCGTCCACAACCGCTCACAATTTGAGTT